ATATATATATATATATATGGATATATATATATCAAGTAGGATATCTATATATCAAGTAGGATCAAATTATCCCTATTGTCCTGCCACTTTTAATTAACAACATATATAAGGGGTTTGGGATAACAACATATATGAGGGGGTTTCAAAAAGTTCAGGAACGTGGAATTAAAAGATAATGAGATTTTCCTATGAACTTTTTGAAGCCCCTTTATTGGACATAATTCCATGTCAATATAAATATGAGGGGGAACAGCACCTAACAATAACAATATTTGAAGGTATAATGGCTGAAGATTTTTTTTAAAGATCATTTTATTGGGAGCTCTTACAGCTCTTATAACAATCCATACATCAATTGTAACAAGCATATTTGTACATATTTTGCCATCATTATTTTCTAAACATTTACTTTCTATTTGAGCCCTTGGTATCAGGTTTTTCCCCTCCTTTCCTCCCCCCTCCCACCCTTGTGGCTGAAGATTCTTTAGAACTGATGAAAAAGAATGATCCATAGACCTAAGAACCCAACAAAAAGAAAATCAACACTAAACACATCATATTGTGAATTTTATAGAAATAAAGACAGAGAAAATCATAAAAGTCAGCAGGGAAAAAAAGAATGTGCCTTGTAAGTAGTAACAGGCTAATCACTGGATTTTGAATATCAACAATGGCGGTATGAAGATTATAGAGTGAAATATTCAAAGAAAATGAATGTAATCCTAGAAGATGATATCTAGCAAAAGCACCTTTCAAGAATGAAGACCTTCACAGATATACAAAGATTGAAAAAATTGCCAACAGCATGCTCAAATGAAGAGAAATTGTAAACACTACAGGACTTATTTCAGAGAAAAGGAAAATTATCTCAGATGGAGGGGAAAAGATGAAGGAATAAACAGCAATGAAACATATTAATAACTCTATAAATATAAACTAATACTGATTCTGTAAAATACTATCTTGTTGGTTCATACTGAGCATTAACATATGAGTCAAATGAAGGTAAATGGAATAAAAGTAGTTTAAATTTTTACAATATCTCAGGAGTATATAAAGTACAAATTAATATCATCATTTGATAAGTCAAGTCTATGATGCTGTAACTGCCAGGTAACCATTAAGAAAGAGTACAAAACGTTAAGAGGCCACTGTTATTAGGGGGGCGGAGGGGGATCAAGATAAAGGCTTTCATACCAAAGGGAATAGACTTTGGAGTTTGCCAAATTGGAAGTGGGAGAGAATGAAGCAATGGGCTGGATGATAGAAGGGTGATGACTTGGGCTCCGTGGAAGATGGTAATCTGTAGGAGAGAGAAGAGAAATCAAGGGGGGTGGACTGTCGGAGATTTGATTGGGAGTTTCAACTGGAAAGCAGGGTTGATGATCTGAAATGTAAACTGCCACATAAGTTACAATAAAAAATAACATAAAATAATTCCAAGCTAATGTTGTTGCTGGCGTTGTCAGGTCGGCTCGGACACATAGTGACCCTTTATACTACAGAATGAAACACTGCCAGTCCTGGGACATACAATTTTTTTATGTTTCAGCCCATTGTTGCAGCCACTGTGTCAATCCTTCTTGTTAAGGACCTGCTTCTTTTTTTGATGCCCTTCCACTTTACGGAGCATTATGTCCTTTTCTAGGGACTGGTCTTTCCTGCTAACGTGTCCTAAGTAGGTAGATGAAGTCTCACCATCCTTTCCTCTAAGGAACATTATGGTTGTGCCTTTTCCAAGACAGATGTGTGTGTTCTTTTTACAAATACCACCAGAGTCACTCTAAGTGAACATATTTCAGTGGAGCTTCCAGACTAAGACCAGACAATGAAGAAGGACTTGGCTCCCCACTTTGGAGGAAGGAGTGGCTGACAACCTTATAAATAGCTTTGAAATATTGTCAGATACAACCGAAAAGTGGATGAAGGGAGACGTCGGACAGGGCAAGATATGACAAAATACCCATTTATAAACTATCAAGGGCTCATGCGGGAGGGGGGAGTGGGAAGGGAGGGGAAAATGAGGACCTAATGTTGGGGGTTTAAATGGAGAGAAAATGTTTTGAGAAACGACGTACAAATGCGCTTTACACAATTGATGTGTGTATGGATTGGGATAACAGTTGTATGAGCCCCTAATAAAATGTTAAAAAAAAAAGAAAAAGAAATATTGTCAGATACCAAAGGCCTAAAGAATGGAAACAGAACATTGTCAGAGATTGTGCCAGAGGATGGGCCCCTCTGATCCGAGAGCTCTTGAAATGTGACTGAGGAGAAACTGATTTCTGACAGTGGAGTTGACCACTTTAACATGAGTCAGGTAAAGCTTGGGAGTGGAACCTTCAGGAACTTTATTTTCTGATCACATGGTAGAGTTTTGCAAAACCAATGACTTGTCATACAAAATGCCTTCTTTTTTTTCCCAATTGCCTTCTTTCAACAACACAGATGGAATACCCAGAAATCAAATTGACTACATCTATGTGAAGACACCATGGAGAAGCACAATATCAGCAGCTAAAACCAGACCAGAGGCTGTAAATGTAGGTTAAAGCTGAAGAAAATTAAAACAAGCCCATGAGAGCCAAAATATGACCTTGAGTCTACCTCACATAAAATTTGAGAACAACT